CTAGGAAGACAGACGTTTAAAATTCCATCAATAAAACTTGATATCATAGAAAGTAATAATCTTTTAAAGTTCAGTGGCATTCATTCAGAAATAAATTATAATTCTAAGTCAAATAATTTTTCCCCTAAAAGACTAGGGAATGAGCTAGATACTTGGTTTGTATTTCTATTAGAGTACTTTTTTTCTTTCATTCTGTCACCAAATATTTATTGATTTTTTGACTTTGTGTATATTTTTATTCCTTTCACTTTGGGTTATCCCATTCATTAGTTGAGGGTGCTAAAATAAAAATACCATAGCCTGAAAGGATTAATCAACAGAAATTTATTCCTCAGAGTTCTGACAGCTGGGAAGTGCAAGATCAAGGTGCCAGCCAATTTGATTCCTGGTGAGGGCCCTCTTCCTGGTTTGCAGAAGGCCAGTATGCTGACATGGCAGAGAGAGAAAGATCATTTCTGTTGTGCCTCTTTTTATAAGGGCACTAATTCCATTCAAGAAGGCTCTCCCCTCATGACTTAATAACTTCCCAAAGGCCTCACCTCCAAATACCATCACATTGGGGATTAGGTGTCAACATATACAAATTTTGTGTGGACACAAACATTCAATCTATAGCATAGACAAATAACTGAAACATGTAGAAATGAGAATTTGTACCTATAAATGTAGATTCTATATGTCAGAGTACTAACTATGCTACCCAATTTATTTTACATTGCAAGGTAAGGCCCTTTACTTTATGAGTTTTGTCTAATTTGGAAACTGTTTTTTTAAAAGCATACCCCTAATTTTCAGTCATTCATAGCACTACATGTTCTATCAAGTAGGGATGATGTAATATATCTTGAAGGAGGACAGCAGATTGAAATATTATTTTCTTTGGGTTTTCATTGATACTTGCCATTTGGTTGAAGAGAACATTCTATTTGTTCCAGATTAGTGGACTGATGTAGAAAACAATTTTTGCAGAAAATTGTTTCTCCTATTAATTATAAGACTATGAACCTTGAAAAATCCTGAGCAGAGGGCAGTAATCTTTATCTGCTTTGTTCACTGATCTGTCCAACCACCCAAAACAGCACCTTTGTGGGTGTTTAAAAAATATTGGTTGAATGAACAAATTTCTACCATACCTTCTATTAATAATGGATAAGTGTAGCTTTTTTATTCTCCCGATTGACCTTTAATCTGACACAACAAAGAGCACCATTGTTTATTGGAGTATTTCTTCTTAAACTAGGTTTTCTTTGTTCTCTGCAAAGCATGGTAATAATTTTCTCCAGCTCCTTAATAAAGATGGTTTGTGCCTTAGGAGCATATGCCTTTATGCCCACTCCCCACCTCACCCGCACACACTCCAAATGTTTACAGCGTATCTACAATATGCAAATCTTTATATTTAAGGGTAATACTGAAAACAATTGACACAGAATCATGGGTCCCTTATTTTATAAGGGACTTTAGAAATCATGTGGTTCAACTCCCTCATTTTAAGGTTGAGGAAACTAAAGCCCTGCAAGGTTATTATCTCAGGGGCTCCTCTGGTAATTAATGGTGGTACAAAAACTAAAATCCAGGTCCTTGACTCCCAGTGAAATGTTATTTCCACACACATTATAAACAGCTCTTCCAAGGGGAAGGCTTTTTCCAGTTAAAATACTGATTTGCCATCATGATACCTTCAGGCAAATATGTGATGCCCAAACTATTAAAAAAATAAAAATAACACTGTTCCAGATACAAAGAGTAAGTACACTTTAATAGCCTAGACTCAAATTTTGAAGAACTTATTCTTCCCAGGTTGCTAATGCAGGGAGTACTGACGTGTCTGTCAGTAGATACAGATTATATCATCAGTAGGTAATCTGTTAGATTTGCATTTTACCAAAAAAGAATTTAAATTTGTTTTAATATTTTGAATTGTACTTGAAAGTAGATTGATTTCTGAGTAGCGAAGTACAAATATAAGTACAGAACATTCTCAGTTGCTAGTATGCAAACTCTTTTGGGTTCTGTTGCTATGTCTGGCCAAGCTAATTCACTGGGCAGTTGAGGACTTAGGTAGTTATCTAGATAATTTAAGGTAAGGCTCAATCTGAGTAATAAGAGCTTATGTTATAACAGAACTAATTTTATAAGAAAAATTCTTTAACCATAGCAATCTTTATATTTTATGTAAAAGTAGTAGATTCTTATCTAAATTAACTAGATTTTTTGTCATTTTATACTTTGAGTTGTGTACATAATTTATAAGTAGTTTTCAGTATTCTTGGCCAAAAAAACCCCATAAATTTGAACTTCTTGGAGGAGGACATACAAGAGCAAATAAATTGACTAAAAACAGAATCTGTATCTCTTTCAATCTTATTTTGTAGGAACCTGCAGGTTCCCAGCAAACACATGCGCTGACCCTCCTTTACAGCAGTCCCTTGATAGGGCCTCACAGTGAGGGAGGGAGGTGTAGACAACCCCATTACAGTATATTCATTACAGTATATTCATTCAAATGCCATCCATTAGAGAAAAAATTTTCTTTTCAAATATTCCATTAAATTTACACTGTAACATCTTTTTACATTCAGATGAACATGCAAATCTCAAATGCTGGATTTCAAATAAGGCACGTCTAAGTATTTATCTCAACATTTCATATTTAGTAATATTTTTCACATAATTTCTACCTTGTATTGCATTTCCAAGTGATTTTATTATAGATAGGAATTATTAGTAACCTATTTTTATTTCTTCATATTTCAAAAATTAAATTAATATACTTTGAATTATAAATGTTATAAAACATCACTCTGTAAAAGAAAGGCAACTATTACAAAACCTATGACATAATATTTAATTATTGAATTTTAAAAATGAGTCCAGAATTTAAAAGACAGTTTCTTTAAGTGATATTAGGTAATTTAGAAAGGAAAGGGAAAATAACAGAGGGAGTATGAATATTGAGTAAGTTTCTAGTCAGCAGTATATAGTCAACTTATTAATCCAATTTGGAGTAGAGTTTCAAAATGATAAAACAGAGACAACTTTGATCAAGTATGTGAAAGCTAAACATTTTTAAAATCAACTTTGTTAAAATTGGAAAACCTACTTAAGTTTTATCAGCTGGAGGTAATAATAGGACCTGAATAACCTACTGTTTCTGTCCATATAAAATGAATTCTTGGGAGCACATTTATATATAAGAACACAGTGAGCAAAATGCCAAATTGCTTGCTTAATTGTGAAGTTCCTCTTGTTGGTTTATCAGACCCTCCAAAAGATACCTATAGAAAAAAATCTAGACAGCATAAATTAATTAGAATTTTATTTTTCAGAGGCTGTTTTTAAAACAGCCCTGGAAAACATGTATGGCCATGAACTGCAGGCCTGATTTCTAAAAATGTTTATAGATAATCTATTGTAAATGTAGGATTTAATTCTGTAAAGTGCTATAAATTTGATTTGCCCAAGCCTTTGTTTACTTACTGTATGTTAAATTTATTCTTAATTTATATTAATCCATTTTAATATGTTAATAATATTAAACCCTTTAGATTTGATGATTTGCTTTTATTACATGTAAGGAATAATCTTACAGTTAAATAATTATGTATTAAGATGTAATTAAATAAAATTATAATTTTCTGTTTTTAGAAAAATATAATAAAAATAGAATTTTGAATAACTTAATAAACTTCTAAAAATGTGGTACCTACATTTGAGTGATCAAAAATATTCTCCTTCCGCTCAACATTGGAAAATCATAACAATGATCCTTTTAGGGTATTTTTCTGGACTGTTTCTTGACTGACAGATTCAACACATTTTAGGAGACTTTGACTCATCTAACAGCATAAATTAACTTGACTTTTAACATGAGACTATTTTTTTCTTTTGTTAAAAAATATACACCTCATAATCTGCTAAGGTCAAAATACGCAAAGAAACTTTAAATTTTAGTCAGGTGGGGCACAGTGGCTCACTCCTGTAATCCCAGCATTTTGGGAGGCCCAAGCAGGAGTGTTGCTTGAGGCCAGGAGTTCTAGACCAGCCTAGGCAACATAGTGAGACCCTGTCTCTACAAAAAATAAAAAAAAAAATGAATTGAATTAATTGTGTATGGTGGTGCACACCTGTGGTCCTAGCTACTTGAGAGGTTAAGGCAGGAGGATGGCTTAAGCCCAGAAGTTCAAGGCTGCAATGAGCTATGATGACAGCACTGCACTCCAGCCTTGGTGACAGAATGAGACCATTTCTCTAAAAATAAATAAATAAATA